AAATCCACTTTCATCCCCAAATTTTGAGTTAGAGATACATTCCATCCCCAAACTTTTAGACGTACCACATTTAGCACATGAATTAATAATTTTTGCCATATTTAGTCCAAAAACGGTAAATTGCTTAATTTGGTTGGAGAAAGTCACGTGTTTGGCATGTGACCGTTTAATAAAAACAATTTCTCATTCAAAATCAACGGCCACATCAACATTCTCCATCCAAATTGAATATTTTACCGTTTTTGGACTAAATGTGGCCAAAAATAATTAATTCATGTACTAAATGTGGTGCATCTAAAAGTTTGGCAACGAGATATATCCCTAACTCAAAGTTTAAGGATAAAAAGTGAATTTTTCCCCATGGATAAAGTATATGTTGGAGGAACTTTTTTGTCAAAAATATACAGAATTTAATGAAAGTACTTACGACTACTATTGGATCTTGAATTCTTGGGAAATTCTTCACTATATATTCGAGATGTTATTGTGAGTTTTCCTGTCTATTTCATGTGTATGGCATGATAGGTTGTTAGACAATCAAAATAAAATTACTTATTCTACAATAAATAAAAATTAGAGTACAGTGGTAAGTAAGGTTATGTCCACATGGATTAGAATAGTTTATTATTTTCAGAGCGACAGTTAAATAAGGGGATTTTTCGAGGAAATTAAACTAACTAATTAACTCTAATAAAGACAAATATGTAAAAATTAATTAAATCTAAATAATGATAATGAAGGTTCTAGCCAAAGTAATAACTTCAGAAATGGTTCATACAACTAATTAGTGATATTTTTTTAATCTGTTGCGCACTTGAAAGATGTAGGCAACGGAATGAGGAATTAGATTTTGACCAAAAAATAGAATGAGAAATTGGAGATAGTTACTTTATGTTTTTTTAATATTTCATTTTTCCCCTATGATGTTTTGAATTGTTTTCAAGGTTCCTAAAACATTTTCTAATGTCATTTGCAAGGTCAATTTTGATGTATCTTTTCAAATAAGTCCCCTACATTTTGTTATAGACTCATTAATTTGCATTTAAAATTCACAAATATCAAATTAGGGTTAGGCTTTAATACTTTTGAATTTTCCTAAGCTGTGTGAAACAAAAATTGAGACTAAAGGATACTTATTATGTCACTAATATATCTATAGGTTATTTCTTCATGCTATTTTATTTATAATTAATATTTATGACATAATGATGATGTCACCCAATTTTGAAACTGGTTCGACCTCGATCTAATTCATTGGCCCCTAAACCCTGAATTTGGTCAAGTCGGCATCCAGTCCGAATTTGAAACCATAGCTTAAAAAGATTGAGGTGTGACAGGTGTCTGATTGCCCCTTCTCTGCAAGTTTTATAAAGCCATTTCAAGAGGAGCAATTAGACATGGGAAATAATGATCTGAAGATCTTCATTTCATCCAAAGAAATGGATTACTGACCTTCTCAGGCGCGTTTAGCTTGGACAGCCAATTTACTCATTTTACACCACCGAATTTTTGTACTTTTGTACTTTTTATGGTTGTGTTGTTTTAATGTTCTTTATCCTGTCTCAAACTGTATGGTGGGATCGCTTCCTTGGATATATGTTGTTTCTAAGGATTTAAATGAACGAAGCAGCTGTTCTTGTTTCCCAAATTTTAGTTATGTTTCCAACAAATGTTGCATTACGTTCTTTTACTAATTAGCTGCATTGTAACTACAAATTCAGTCAATCTTTTCATACCATTAATAATTTGGTTACAAAATGGCGATCTACTAATCTAATTACTAAGTTGCGACAATTTAGACATCTCTTTTTCATAGTCGTATTGTACAATTTCTTAGTCTACTCACTCAACTTCTGGTCATCCCAACTCTACCCGTAATTGGAGAGGCCCTTGGTCCCTAAAGGACAGCTCCCCAGTTTGCTGATTGAATGTTGATACTATGTGTTTAAAAGAAAAGCCATAGAAAAGACCCACGCACAGTTGGTGATGAACGCAGTAAACAGTAGAACATGATTGTCTGGGAAGGAGGGGTATGAACATAATTGTGATGATATAGACAAAGACGCAAGTATGTAAATTAAAAAAGAGAGGGGTTAAATCCACACCTTAAATGTCATAAAACTATTGAAGCCCTTGACAGTTAATGGGTTTCTGCTAACTTTTTGTTTATTCTAAATTTTGCTTTCACATAAAATAAATGATTTGCTATGTAGTTTTTTTTTATGAGAATAATTACTTTTCAATCTTTTTACCTTGCACATGTGTTTCAATTTTATAATCTCTTATTTTATAAAAACTATCTAATGGACAGTGAATTTCAAAACATAAATTTCATGGCATGACATATAATTCAAAGAGTAAATTTTATATACACTGACAGTGTATACATTATCATCGTTGGATTCATAACATGTATGCAAAATTTGAATTTCAATTCAACTTTTACATAGTTGTTATTTATCCAATACTGATAGTGTAAGAAAAATTAATTTAAATTTAAATTTAAATTTAAAATTCAAATTTTATATACATATCGTGTATCCAATTTTAACCGTGCATGTACTTAAATGTATATAAGATTTACTGATTTAGTTCTTGTTTATTTGTACGTAAGCGCCTTTCGTGTGGTGTCACATGGATGTGTCCATTTGTGCATTTGCCGTTCCCAATGAAAGCGATTTCACGCTCTGTTTGAAACTCGGACTGGACCGGCTGGTCGAACCGGGAACCGGCCAGGTAGCCGGTCCGAGTCATATTAAAAAACCGGAAATTGAAAACCTGGTCAAAGACGGTCAAAAACCGGGTTTGACCGGGCAAAAACCGGTTTTTCCGGTTCAATAGTAATTTTTTTTTAAAAAAATTCAAACTTTTTAATATTATGTTTTGACCCCCTAAATTGTTAAAACTTATTGATATACCTCAAATATTTGATACTTTATAAATATTGTCCTAAAATTTGATGTTATTTTTAATTAAATTCATAATTTTAATTCTAAACTTGTTAATATTTATTAAATAATATAAATTGCTACTTCATTGTTCTAATTTCTTTGTATTTTCTTGTTAAATATATTTGAAACATCAAATATATATGAATATACCTTTATTAATATCAATATATTATTAGATATTATATATATAATATTTTAATTTTTAAATAATTTTTTATTTATGACGTCATCCGGTTCGACCCTTATCGACCCCGATCGAACCCATTGACCCTGACCCCTGATCTCGGCCGAGTCGCTATCCGGTCCGGTTCTGAAAATATAGTTTCCACGCTCAAGGCCAAAATGCCTTCCTCACTGCCCCACCAAACAGTACACAGTACCAGGTAAACATAATACTGGAAAAGTCACCTATAAAATTCACCAAACAATACAACTGTTTATTCGTACGCGAGCACCTTTCATGTGGTGTACTGGTGTAAAAGGTACTATTTGGAATCCAAATTTTTTGGTAAGTTTGTCTGTTAAGAGTTTTTTAAAAATTTTAGTTACAGTAACGTCAAAAAACTTTTCAAAATTTTTAAATCATACACTTCAAAATATTAAAAAATTTACATACCTCAAAAATTTTTTAAAAAACTTCTACAATACGTTACAGTAAAATTTTAAATAAACTTCCAAAAAACTCACTTTTCAAATGGGTTTGACACGTCAAAGTTTTGATGTGTCTATTTGTATTTGCAGTTCCCCGATAAAAGAAATTCACCCGCTCAAGGCCAAAATACTGGGCCTTCCTGACTGGCCCACCAAATAGTACACAGTACCAGGTAAGCATAATACTGGAAAATTCACTTGATGAAAATTACTCCGTAAACCTCTACAGTAATAAAAAATTAATAGGGTTTTCTAGCAAGTGCTATCTGGACACTCATTTAACACATCTATATCTCACCCAAGTTATCGTATATATATACACACTAATAATTTTTACTTTTTCTCGCATTCATGCACTTTTTCTAATTAATCCTTACATTTGTACGCTTTTTCTAATTAATCTTATATTTCTAAACATCTAACACCTGAAATAAATCTTAATGAGTGCCCATCCGTAAGACAGATCGAATCAAATATAACACTTGTAGACCAACATATGTGTATGTTTCAATTCCAGACCTGCTAATTAATTGCTTCAAACTCCGATATTAGCGGTGAGATCTGTCAAGATAGGCTCGAGGAATCCAGATCTAACAACCAATTAATCTAAAATACTTACATCTAATAATAAAATGTAGTAAAAACTTGCAAAAACTCCTAAAAATTTTAAGAGAGAAGAAAACTCTTATTGAGAAACCTACGAGAGGAGAAAATTCTTGTTAGGAGCCCCTAGATTAGAGACTTCAAGTACAACAAGCGTAAGTTTACTTGAGTGTTTGCCTTGGAAAATAAGAGGGAATCACATGCTTAATTCGAGATAGAGATTAATAAGCATCCGATGCGTGTGTACTAGATAAAAATTTCATTTTTAGAAATATATTTCACAAAAATTGATTTTACATTTTCACTAAATATAATTTAATAAAATATGTTTGTGCAACTGTGTGAGTTGATGGTGATAAAACTATTGCCTTAAAGAAACGAAGATTCTATTTATCGACTTGCAATAATTGAAGACATGGAGTTCAGTACTGGGCTTGCTAAGAAGCGGAAGTTGCCCGAAAACAAATTAGCCCCACAACTAGCTTAATTGTTTCATTTCCCTTCTATTCCTTTTCCTTACCCCACCTAATAACCTAGTAGCACATTTTACATAAGACAAGTTCCTTTCAAACATGCTAAAAACAACCTCTGGCAGAATTTGACCATTCAACTTCAGCAAGAATAGACACAGCTACGTCTTTGACTATCAAGCAATCATATTAAAAAGAAAGATTAATCATATAAAGAATACAAGTCAATTATCCAATATCGAGCAGTGACAGCAGAGTAGAAAAAATATAAGAGGCCCTCATGAAGGTAGTTTTTGCGTCGAACCACAGACTGCATACTCCTTGTTTGAACTGTATATCTGCCTTTATCTCATTCGTTGCAAGATGGTTCAAGTTCTTGTAAATTTTCCTTTAACTTGCATTCAGCCTAATTTGAATATACTCAAAACCAATTCAAGATCAGGACCTCTTCATCATGCGTATCGTGTCCAAAAAACTTGGCAAACAAGATGCAGTAATCAATCTGCAGAGCTGACGATCGACCGCCGGACAGCTAATTACCAGCCGAGTTCGTGGAGTCATATTCTCTTCGAGCCGACTAGTGAGACAGATAATGAGGTATATTATTTTCTCAGTTAATCCATTTAGGAAATTTTATTTAGTAGTTTGATGTAAAATAAGTGAGGAAGTAACTCCGTCTAAAACACAATACTAATAACAGTAATAGTAGGGTAATAGAAATTAAGGCCATCATGTAGGAGATTGGTCTTGTGGAGGAATTAAGCTTGAAAATAAATTCATACTAGGGAAAACGTAATCTCCTTTTTCTCGTTATGTCTTTTGTTTTAGTTAATGATAGTTGGATGTTACGGATTAAAATGCCTCTTGGCTCATCCATTCAGTATCATGTTGCATTTTTGTGTCTATGCGAAGATCAACTGTTTATTATCCTTACCTATATGCATACAAGAGTTTTGTACCGATTGGCATGGCTAAATTACCTTCGAAAATGCATAAGAGAATTCTACTAGATGGCATTTTATAATTTGGCCTTTATGTTCATTTATAGCATATGCCACACGATGTTTTCCTGAGAGGAGATCAGTTCTTTCAATAAGGGTAAATTACACCTTATTCCCCAGTGGTTTAGCACTTTTCTACACAACCCTTATGTAGTTTTAAAAACTATATATAACCTCCTTATGATTTGAACTAAAGCGTCAAAGTGATGAAATTTACATTTCATAACAGAGTCAACTAAATATATCAAAAGTACTCCTGTGTAAAATAAAAAATTATTTATTAACCACAAGGGAATTATGTATATATTTTGAAAATCATTAAAGAGTTATGTGATAAAACTCTAAATCATAAAGAGATTATGTAGTAAAACACAAAATTATAAGGAGTTAAAGTGTCATGCATGTTATGTTTATATATTTTGGTCATTTCAACTATTTTAGTTTTTAAACCAAAGTAATCTCGGCATTTTTTTAGTAACGATACAAATGATCATTTCTGTTACCCTGACACTTTAGTCCAAACCATGATTGGGTTATATATAGTTTTTGAAACTCTAGGAGAATTATGTAAAAAATCGATAAACCACAAGGGGTAAAGTGATAAGCAATTAAATCCTGTGATTGAAATCAACAATTTTATGACTTTATTATTGCTCATAAAAGAATCATGTTTTGTTCATGCATGTAGCATCATTATTATGAGAGTAAATTACCTTTTACCCATATGATTTGGTGTTTTATCACATAACTCCCTATAGTTTAAAAACATATGTACAACTCCCTTATAGTTTGAGTTAAACTGTCACAGTTAGTTTTTTTTTAAAACTAATGGTTAATAGTAAAAAACCAAAGTCAAATTATTAAATTGACAAATTCGTCTTTCACTACTTTGTTTTCTTTTTTCATTTTTTCCTTTTCTTTCTCTCTTTTTTCTTGGAAAGAGAAGAGATGATTTTGAAAACTTATACTTTATTCTATAATATCTTAATTTTCTCCAAATACAAAAGAGATGAAGTGAAATAAAAAAGATGGAAGGGAAATATAAAACAAACAAATAAGAAACAAAAAATAACAAAATCTTTTTTCACTATAAATATGATTATAGGTTTTTAAACCAAATTTTATTTTCTAGTTCTTATTTATCTATTTTTTCATGTCCCACAATCGTGTTGGATAATTGGATTATCAAAAAATCATTTCTAAGAAAAATAAACTTTAAAAATTCCATAGTTACCCGTTAATCCATAATGTGTTTTAGTCTGTCATAACTTCTCATTCCCTACTTAAATTGACCTCAAGAAATCAAATTAATTCATTCTGGAATCAAACCCAATTTATGTCGCAATCATCTTGTTCAATTAAAATACAAAGTATCCAATATATGTTTTTGCTAATCTTTTGTAGTGGGAAAATCAGACAAAGATTTTAAATAAGTTGGAGAGCGAAGTTGGCAGCATGCTTGATTGTGAAGACTTGGAGCCACAGGCTCTGATTGAACTGATTAATGACATCGACCAGCTTGGCCTCTCTTACCGATACAGGCAAAAAATTAAAAATGCCCTTAATAAGCTTCGAGATTTGGAGGATGCAACTGGAGATAAAATTAAGAGTAGTCTACATACTTCAGCTCTCTATTTCAGGTTGCTTAGGCAACATGGTTTTGAGGTTTCCCCAGGTAACACATTCCCTTTGAACAAACTCTCTAATTTTGGTTGCAAAAGCGTACTGATAGTTGTGAATCTTTCCTGTCATTGCAACAACATCCCTTTGATTCAGTCATGTGTCTAGATTACTTATCTACTTTGTCAAAATGGTGGCGAAGGATTTTGCTTGGATCCCACAAATTGAGAATTGTAACTTTATATGTAATTGTGTTCTTTATTTTATGATTAACTTTATACCCTAAACATAAGAAAATTCTACAATCTCTTTAAGGTATCATACTGTTGTATTAATTTAAGTATAATGCTGGTTTAATTCACTTATGTTTTCTCGTTTCATTCGTTTGACTAATTTTTACAAAAGAGAAAAATATTTCAATCAATGAGCAAGTGGTGTTTAGCAGCAAACCCTAACGGGATAAGTAAGTATGCCTCTATGAAGACCATATATTCCATCGTACATGAAGCCCTTCTTGGCCTGCGTATAGAGGCTAATTACGTTATCACTCCATTTTAAGGTCCTTTTCTTAAAAAGGAAAAACTTAAAAAAATAAAACAGTATTGGTCATGATGTAGATAAAATAAAATTTTGGCATCAATTTTCTTTGATTTGGTATTGAAATAGAATCCAAATAAACCTAACCCTATCCTCCCACCACAAAAAAAAGGACATGGGAATCCGTTTATTATCGTATATGCAGCTGTTGTATGATTGTATCTTTCCTCAATAGCACCAAGTTATCAAATTTCTATTTGGTGCAGATGTCTTTGAGAGATTCAAGGACCAAAATGGCAACTTCAATGAAGACCTTTCCCGGGAAGTTCGAGGAATTTTGAGCTTGTTTGAGGCTTCACATCTTGCATATGAAGAAGAGAATATACTAAACGAGGCCAAATCATTCACAAGTCTACTTCTTAAGGATTCCAAAAAGCTGGTTGGGGCAAACATGTCAGAACAAATAACTCATGCTTTGGAGCTTCCGTATCACCATAGAATGCGAAGGCTAGAAGCTAGGAGGAATATTGAAGCATATGCTCAAAGAGGTGAGAAAAATCAAGTGCTACTCGAGTTAGCCAAGCTAGACTTCAACTTGGTTCAGACTAAGTTCCAAAGTGATGTTCAAGAAGTATCGAGGTAAGATCACGCAGGACACATCTGCATCTGATTGCATGAACTATTATTTTCATTACTTTTCTAGTATTGTCGTAAATTACTCGAAATTATTTTTGTCATATCACACAATATGTCATTTAGAATTATGGTGCTTTTGTTATAAAAGTACTTTTGTTAATTGAAGCACTTTTGGAGTTTTTTTTATGAGCATAATTCAGAAAATTTATGAGTAGAATTTTTTTTATCTCAAAAGTATTTTTAACATAAGCTCAAAATTGGTGCATTCAAAATGACTTTTATATTTTAAAAATAAAATTGTAATTCTAGCCATTTTATTATCAATTCTAAACTAAATAAAGAGATAAGTTTTTTGGTTTTCAAAAACTCAAATTACACATTATTTAATATGATAAGAACTTATGTAAGTGTGTTCTCATAATGTAATTAACTAATCACTAGCCATGGGGACTAGTGGCCAGGGAGTTGAACTCTTGCCTGATGTACCAGGGTTCAAATCTTGACAGGTATGTTTGGGGAAGGAGGGAATAGGAGAGTGAGAGGAGGTGAAAAAAAATTAAAAAATTAGCAGGTACTTCTATTGAAAACTCTATTAAATAAAGTGTTTTTGTTAAGAAGGCTGAGAAGGTTTTAGTCTAGTGCTAAAGTTGAGACTTAAGGAATTAATAGTTTTAGATTTAGATCTCCTTTCTTCCTACCCACTTTTTAAATCTCACCTCCGCCATAAAATAAATAAATATACACACACACACACACATTTCAGATGCTGGTCTTCCTAAATATTTTTTTTTCAAATGCTAATTACTCATATTTTAAAGTGTGTAAACTTAAACACAATTTCATATATTTTGGCCAGATCACTTTGTAACTGGTTGCCCTTGGAAATTATGATTAGGTGGTGGAAAGTTATGGGCTTAGCAGACAAGTTGGACTTTGCAAGAGACCGGCTAATGGAAAGCTTCTTTTGGTCAGTTGGAATGGCCTTTGAGCCACAATTTAGTAAATGCCGAACGGCAGTAACCAAAGCCCTTACGCTGATCACTGTCCTGGATGATATCTATGATATTTATGGTTCCCTAGATGAACTCGAGCAATTTACAGATGCCGTTGTTAGGTATATATACAAAATGCATTGGCTTTCTATTGTAACAAAAACTGTTCCTTGTTTCCATCTTACTAACGTCACTAAACTATGTTGGTTCAGATGGGATCTTGATGCTATGAAAGATCTTCCCGAATATATGAAATTGTTCTTCCTTGCTCTTTACAATACCATAAACGATTTGGCTTATGAAACTCTCAAGGAAAAAGGAGAGATGATAATTCCTTGCCTGAAAAAGCAGTAAGTAATTGAACAGAGATTAATTCCTCCATTCCCTCCAACATATGCTTAATTACTAGTCTAATCGCTCATGTAAACAGAATAGTCCATCTCTAATTCATATGCTTTTTTCAGTGGGCAGATATGTGCAAATCATTCTTACAAGAAGCTCAATGGTATCACAAGAAAGGTACTCCAACCTTTGAGGAGTATATGGAAAATGGATGGATTTCATCAGGTGGCGCTGTGCTATTAATTCATGCGTACTTTTGGTCACTGAAAATATTTCAAATGAGGCCACAGAGTCCTTGGACAATCATCATGATTTCTTGCGTTGGCCCTGCATAATTTACCGTCTTACCAATGATTTTTCCTCAACGGTTAGTATGCTCATTTACCATATTTTTCCTCTACACAAATCATAATTGTCAATGCCTCTTCATTGGTTGATCAGTCAAGATTTAACCTAAATAATAACGTACTCGAGCTGATCTAGGTTAAGTCTCAAAAGTGTAGCATGGAGAATTATAAGAATGCGAAGTTATTACATTGAATTATAAGGAACCTTTGCTGCAACCAATAATTTATATCGGATTTTTGGAAATAAAAAACAACTAAATCATAACAAAAATTGAACCCAAAAAAAAAGGATGTGTAATATGTACAATTTTCCTTGTGTTTATGCTACTGCTGCGAGCCCGAGACAGCACCTTAATACATCATGTGCCATGTTGTAGGATGAGATAGAAAGGGGTGAAACTACAAATGCAATTACGTGCTACATGCGTGGAACTGGCCTGTCTGAGGAATTTGCTAAAAAAAATGTAAGCAAAATGATTGAAGAATGCTTGATGAAGATGAACAAACAATTGTCATCTCCATCACCATTTGAGGAAAATTTCATTGAAGTTGCTATGGACCTTGCTCGAATTGCTTTTTGTCAATACCAGTATGGAGATGCTCATAGTGCTCGGATGTTAAAGCCAAAAACCGCATCGTGTCAGTTATGTTCGATCCTATCCAGTTGAGGGAGGCAGAAAATGATGTCAAAGGAGGAAACAATTAGAGGCAATTCTCTGATTTGTTCCTGGTGTCTTTAGGAACAACCGAAATATGTCTGCTTTGTGTACGTGTGTGTTTTAATTTTTAAGATTCTGATAAAAGCTCAAAACAGGAGCTGTTTTGCTTGTTTCAAGTACTTTGAAATGGGCCATTGAAACATTTTATGTGATAACATGGAAATGAAAGCGATGAATATATTGCAGGTACAGGGTCGGTTCTTCCTCCCTAATAACTGCTCACACTAATTTACATATTATCATAACGTTTTGCCATGAGTCTTGATTCCACTTAGCTTTCATCTTAACCTAATTATAACCAAGGTTTCAAAAAAGCGGAAACACTGACCGGAACTTTTTAATTATTATGTCGAGGCAAAAGCCTACGGTGTGAAGATCAGTCCTATGAATTTCAATTTTTAATGATTTAAAAATTAACAGGATGATAGAAATATGTAATTTTTATATAAATAAGTCATTTTATTAAATTATTTGAAAATAGTCGAATAATGGACTTCCCTTCTAATTCTACACTTGGGATTCCGGTGACATGTTTTCTATGCCAACTCAATGCCACCAATAGTGTTGCGCCAAGTGTCATGTTATTATTTACACTTTAATTTTCTAATAATTCAACTTGGCTTGGTTTAACACAAGTGTAAATAATAACATGACACTTGGCGCAACACTATTGGTGGCATTGGATTGGCATAGAAAACATGTCACCGAGGATCCCAAGTGCTAATTCTAAGGTGCTACAAGCATAACGTACTTAGAGTGTGTTTGTTTGGATGTAAAATGTTTTCCTGAAAATGTTTTCCAAATTTTCCCGTGTTTGGTAATCATTTTATCTTGGAAAAAGATTTACGGGGAATATATTTTACTTCACTTGGTGGAAAATAACTTCCCCTTTTGACTTACTGAAGTTATTTTCCTTCATTAAAACGAGCGGCTCTTGCACTTTACAATAGAGCTCCCTACTCCCACATTCTAACAAAAACAAACAAAGACAAAAGCGGCTAAAGATACAGAGAGTGAGCAATGGAGATTGGAGAGACTGAGAAATCACCAACACAATATGATCATTTTTTATGGCAACCATCTCCAACTTTGGCAAGGTGCCTTGGGTGAGATTCTTATTTAGGGCTTTGTCTTGAATATCTTTATTTTTTTCCAAAAAATCTGATAAAATTGGTTGCTCCAGTCTAGGATTCTATCGATTTTTTTTTAAATTTTGATGCTATAATTCTTGAGAATTGTGGCACTAGTTTCACGGAGGAATTTGGATTTTTTTTTTCTGAAAAATGCTTCTTTTGTTTTTAGTTTTCTTTTTCTATAATTATATGAAGCTCTAGGAATTCTGGTAAAATTTATTGCTCCGTTCCCCTTTTCTGACAATTCTTATTGAGGTAAGGGCTTGAGCTTGCATGATTGTTTTTGTATCAATTGATTGATAGATTAAGAAACTTCAATAGTTTTTCTGTAAATTATCAATCAATTGGCGTCCTTAGAGTTTTATTTTGTCTTTCTATTGAGAAATTTGTTGTTAAATGTATATAGTTGTTATTGATTTCTCTGAGCGATATGAATACTGAATGTTGGATTTCTTGTCTAGAGAATTTAAATTTTAGAATTTATGTTTTGGGATTGGGTAAAGGTTAAGCTGTTAAGACGTTTGCAAGTTGTTTAGAAATGTTTTCTGCTTGAACTGAACAATATACTTGATTCTATTTTGTTTTTTCACACAGATCTAGATTTTCACTTCTCAATTTGGAGAGTCTAGGCTATTACTCATGCTTGAATCTTTTAGTATGACTGCTCGAGTTGCTAAGGATAAGATGTTTTCCATAGTGGTAGTTGTAACATTAATTGGAAGGCCACCTTGCTACCTATTGTTTTGTTCTGTGGCATCCAATATTTAGATATAATTTGAGTTTGCGATTCTTTCCTTTATTGTAGGAATTCTTGTTCAATTTGCTGATTGGAGTAATTCAATGTTGAGTTTAGTAATTGAAGCTTTACACTTGTTATAGTCTTTGCAACCTAGTATGTATGCTTTTCCCTCTTCTATTGTTTGCAAGTATATAGTGTCTAATTTTAACTAACCAAAGTTGGCCTACATCGCGAGACAAAACTACCTTAAGCACTCTTGTATGGAGCCAAGAGAAGCTGAAATCATTATTGGCAGAGAAGAATGGAAGGCATAAACGGGTTGCCCTTTTGTTTTTTCTCCTTTGCTTGTGCATCTTGATAGCTGAACAAGGGACGTGCAATGGCTGTATTTGCTTTTCTTCTTTCTTTGTTGTTCCCTCTTGGTGTGTTTGTGAGTTTTGGTTTGGTCTGAACTCTTTAAGATATTTAAGTTTTTAACTGGTACTAGTTGATTTAGATGGTGAAATATCTCATTTCTTAACTGTACTAGTAATATGGTATACTTGATCCATTGAATGCATTAGCTTGTTGCTTTGGATGGTAAAATCTTATTGGAACAAATCCTGAATTTGTTGAATAAGTGTCTTGCAGTACTATGTAGAACAATCGAAGTCATGATGAGTCCATCAAGATGTAGGACTGACTTCATGAATCAGCAGGCGAGGTTCTCTATTGGTGATGACTATTGAAATTGATTAATTTTTTGAAGATGGGCAAGAAGGAGAGAACAGTTCCTATGGAGCGTTTGATGCTTGAGATTCTTGCCAATGAGGTGAAACATGGAATAGGCCTAACAATAGCTTTGAATCAAGTTCATTTACACGTGTGGTAGACGCCATGAAAGATAAGTTTGGGGTTACGTGCTCAGCAGAACATGTGGAAAATAGCTGATCAGTGCTTGAGTTGAGATCTATTCTACTTTTGAATCTGTATATCTAGAGATTGATTGAAGATCGGGGGATCAACTGTCTTCTTGGCTTGTAATGTATATATTGCCATTTCTGCAATGTAGCAGCAGCAATTGCTACTACACTTGATGATTTATTGCCGTCCAATCATTGCGCTCTATTTGCAGTAATTGCACCAACTACACCAAAATATATATATATTATATATATATTATATATATACTCGTAGTATATAAATATAAATTTGGGATGCAGGGAACTCGACTTCCTGTTTTGTTGTTCGTTCCCATTTTGTCACCAGAAGTTGCCATTTGCCCACTAAAGCAAGATTTTTTTTGCTTCAATGCAAAGAATTATACTTGAAACATTTGTGTCTTGATAAGCAAAAATGAAATGTTAATCGCATTTCACTTTTTTATAATGCCACTCTTACTATCATTTTTAATGTAAAGTCTAACAAATGATAACTATATAATAAAAATAATAATGAGATTGTTTTTACTTGAAAAAAAAGGTGTGAAATTTAAGCGCATGCAAGTGGGGAGCTTGTTTGCAACATATCAACAAACATATCATAAAATATTTTCATTGACAAACCAAACACCAGAAAATTCTGAAAAAAGAAATTTGAAAAATATTTTCACTTAATAACCAAACACTGGAAAATTATGGGAAGGAAGTGATTTTCAGGAAAATGACTTCGATGGAAAATATTTTCCTAGGAAAATATTTTCAGTCCAACCAAACGAACCCTTAATGTGAAATCTAAATGGACACTCTGCATCTGGCATTCTCCAGATTGATGGTAGCGCAAAGTTAAGAGTCCTGTCGAGTTTCAACTGTTTTGCTAGCATTCGAGTAGTCCTTCTGCCTTCTAGACTTCTTTGAAATAGCCTAGATATTTTTTGATCATCCTCATGTTTATTGTCTTTATTGCTTCCTTGGTCACGTGCAAAGTTGGTTTCACCAGAAATTTTGTTGAATTTGGACTCAAAAGACTCTTGAAAATCCTTAAAAAATTGTATCATCTTTTCTCAATCACTATCTCGTAGATATGAGTATTTTGCGATTTGAAGTGTTTAATTTTGTTGCCGGGGAGCGTCAATAGTAGAGGTTGACAAACTTTATTAGTTTATACTTGTTTTTATTTTTGTTAAATTTTCTTTAATATATATCAAGTGGTTTGGTATGAATTTTCAAAGTTAATATATATAGTATATGCATCGAACTTTAAGAGTTGTTGTTGTTCCTTTTTGATCCATCAAGGCAAATTTCTTGGTTAGTCCTCAAACTATTAGTTAGTACATTTTAGCCCTCTAACTTTTATTTATTTATTTTTAGCCTTCCAACTCCTGAAA